AATTGTCTTTTAAGTATCTTTAATTTATATTTATTTGAGATACTCTTTTTTATTATACATTATCCAGCCATCCAACTGCAATGGTTGTGTTTTGCTCTCTAAGAAAGGATGATTGATTACTTTAAGTGGAAATATTTTCGGTATTAAGTTTTTTTTTAAGCATGTAATTTGTTTCGTGTAATCGCTTTATTAAAGATGGCTAAAAATTTGGCCGAAACATGTATACGTATTCTTAGAAATGTAGACATATAATTATATTTTAATGACATAACATTTATATTTATTGTGCATCTTTTAGCGCTAATTTTCAGTAGCCGTTTCTTTTTACTAAGTTATAATTTTATTAACTTTTAATTTGTTTTTTTTTAATTTGCATTAACCCTCAGATAATATACCTCATATGATATGTATATTTAATTAATCACCGTAATAATTAAAATAATTTAATAGAAAGTTATTATTTGATATGAGTATATAAACATCTATGTAAACAAGCACATTTAATAAGTTCAATTTTTGAACTTATTTTTAGATTAAAATTTTAAATCTTGATTTTTAATCGTTTATTTTATATATACTGTACATTACATTTATACATCAGGGTGAGTCATTTTAATCGACGCATTGAAATATAAAATAAAGATTCGGAAAAAAGTTTCAGAGAAAAGTTGCTCAGTTATATAAGCGGATTAGCGTATCCCCAATCACAGATCGTTCTGTTAGATCTGCTTGCAAATTTTGCAAGCGTATTTTGCAGAATATATTTTGCAAAAATTTTTGAAGAAGAATCAAAACTACTATTACTTAGGTTGGAATAATAAAAAAATATATAACGTATCACTTAGAAGTTTTATTCGAGAAGCACGTATATTCTTAGCGTCTTTTCTTTCTTAAAAAAATTTATTATACACGTATAGCTTGCACATATAATATACTAGTTACTATATAAATTTTAGAATTTCTCAGAATTCCTGGAATCCACGTTGCTCATGATTTGAAATGATCTTAAAGCTAGTGCATGAATCAATTAGAGAGCCAAACGAGATTTATGGACAATTGATGCACTGCATGTATTGTTTTCAACTTGTCGATAATTTGCTGTCATTGGAATCTAATGTGAACTGAGTTAACATCAGGAGGGCAAATAGATTTCATGAATTTATGAAATTGTAAGAGTATACATTGAGAAATAATAAACTAATTGATTTATTAGCTTTATTAGTTTATTAGTTTATAGCAAACTGACGGCATGCCATGCATGCATGATGACAACTTGCTAGCAGTTGCTGAATTCTAGGAAGGAAGACTTTACGTGACATCAGAACAACAGAGTTTGTGGAAACATCTTGGCTTTAGTTTGGTGAAATTGAATGTGGAATAAGTGACAACAAAATGGCAACATATTGCCCTTATTTGGGTACTAGTATCTTAAGACATTGCTTGAGAATAGACTATGAATTCTGGCCAAAGTATCTTGATAACAACAATAACGTTGAGTATCTGTCAGACTTTCAAGAAAAATTAGAACATTTTTCAGAAATGTTTTATTATTTCTAGAATTCTTTATATACGTATGTATGTATATATGTTAGGTGTAGTAAAAAGAAATCCATTATTTTTCCATTCAATTTCATGCAAAAATAA